GTAGTCCTGCTTTCCCCACAGCTCTAGTGACAACAGACTCTGTGGAGAGGCTTTGTGGCTGCCATCTTAAGCTACCTAAACCTTCCTGTTTGTAGGGGTAGCAATGTTCAAAGGGTTTCTAGCAAAGGCAGGAAAAGCCATTCTTTTTCAACAAGTTGGAAAAAGAAATCATGATCAGAAGAGGCAACAGGTGATGGCAGTATGTAGGACATAGGCAAGAAAACCTACTGTGTGTGGGGGGGGTGTGCCAAAAGGAAATAATGGAACTGTCTGGACAACCAATTTGAAACTAAGAAATACACCCCAGAGCAGTGTTTTAGTACAAGGCCCACGACACAACAGCTGTTCTTCATCCTACCTTACCCTGTCCCACACATGTTAGTTTCCATACATCAATATTTTAGGTACCCTATCTTTTGTAGTTTGGCCTGGGAAACTTACCACCATTTATGACCTTGCTCCTATAGAAACATTCAGAGTCAGGGTTGAACTAACTGATTTACAAATGGACTCGTGGGACACGATTGCTGCTAAAATTGGTAACTGTCTATAAATAGCAATATGGCACTTCCACTTAGAAGCCAGCACTCACTGGAAAATCAACAACTCTCAAAATAAGGTTCTGCTTGCTTTCCCACCACCTGCTTTGCTCCCAGAGGAAAGTGTTACCAGAGTCTAGTTATATTTAAAGAAGTGAAACTAACCATGAGCTAAAAGATGGAAATTGTCATGATTTCAAGCAGAGCCATTAAAAACAATACTGAATGTTGGAGCCAAAGTGATTAAAGCAAGGGAGCTGCTCTTTTGGGAGAAAAAAGGCAACCCTATCTCTTTGCTTCTTCTGCTTCTTTCTAACTTTCCAGAGGGGCATTCTCTTCTGTGCGCTCTCTGTTAGAGGTCAGGAGTGTGCTGCCCAGAAAATGATGTGTTAGGTAATTTTAGGCTTGGAGATCTCAAATTGGAGTGTGGTCAGAAAACCTTAGGAAGTGGTAAATGTTCTAGACCCGCTCCCAAAACTTGCTTAATAGGTCTGGAATGCAGCCCAGGAATTTGTGATTGTGGTACAGATGGTTCATTTATCATATTTAAAGAAAGGAGCCTAAGCCCTAGGGCAGAATCTGGCTCTCCTGCTCAGATGAGGTTTTGTGTGTGTGTGCACGTGTGCATGTGTGTTTACGCTGCCCTATTTTAGTTCTGGGTTCCAAGAGAGAAAGCTTGTCCAAGCAGAAGGATTTGCTCCTATCTAATGCAGAAAAGCTCTGCATGTGAGCTTGGGGCCAAGGTCAAGTGGAGTAATATCTCCTACTGGCTAGGCCACCCCCCTCCCAGCTACCACTTCCTGGGTAGAGAAGTGGTTCTCAACTTTGTTATGCATTAGAACTACCTGGACCAAAAGACCAAAAGACCAAAAATCGTATGTTCTCCCTCATATGCGGACATTAGATCAAGGGCAAACACAACAAGGAGATTGGACTTTCCACATGATAAAGCAAGAGGACACAAGGTAGGTATGAAGACAGGTAAGACACCTAAAAAACTAGACAGCATTTGTTGCCCTCAAAGCAGAGAAACTAAAGCAGATACTTTAAAACAACATAGGCCAATAGGAGAAGGGGACCAGGAACTAGAGAAAAGTTTAGATCAAGGAGAATTAACCTAGAAGGTAACACACATGCACAGGAAATCAATGCGAGTCAACTCCCTATATAGCTATCCTTATCTCAACTAGCAAAAACCCTTGGTCCTTCCTATTATTGCTTATATTCTCTCTTCAACAAAATTAGAGATAAGGGCAAAATAGTTTCTCCCGGGTAGCGAGGGGATGGGGGAGAGAGGGAGGGGGAGTTTAGGAAGGGGGTGGGAAGGGGGAGAAATGACCCAAACATTGTATGCACATATGAATTAAAAAAAAAAAAAAAGAACTACCTGGAGAGCTGTAAACAATACTGATACCTGGGCCATACTCCCAAAGGTCTGATTTCATTGGCCTATGTACAGTGTGGGAGTTAAAGACTTAAAACTCGTTGGGTATTCCTAACATGTAGCCAGAATTAAGAACCACTGGGATAGGAAAAAAAGGAGTTTTGTATTACTGGAGCCCTGGATGAAACAATCTTAGCATTAATTCTTTAGGAAATTCATTATAAGTTTCACCATAAAGAAGGCTCAAATTTACATTTTTACATAGAAAGAAAGAAAGAAAGAAACAAACAAACAAAAACACCAGAAGAAAATATCATCACTAGTGCTCAGGATAATGAAAGCATTGCTAGTCTGGCTTCTTTTGCCCCTCAGCTACAAAGGCCTAGCATATAAAGCATAGAATTCTGAAGCAGCTCAGATGTGGATAAAAGTGACTACAGCAATACTTTTGACTCCAAATGCTTTCCCTAAAGAAGCACTAGAGTTTTAAATTTGTATTATTATTATTTTTTTACTTTGTGTTTGTCCAGAGACCCAAGATATCAGATTCATAGTTGAGAACATTTCTGGAATATCAAATACGAGTCAACTACAGTATTTGAAGAAAGGAACAGTTCTGAACATTAGACAGACCATGATTTTATTAAATCTGTAGTATTCTGATACATTCAGCAAAGTTTAGTGACAAGTTTGTCCAAGCTGTTTTTTCATAACAGTATGGTATTTTGGATTTTGTGAAAATTAAACTATTTCTGTACAACTCTGAATTTCAAAATGATAATATTTATTTTAGAAATAGGGTATTATTGGCTATATCTGAGCTACATTGGATCTCTGATGTGAAGTTTAAGAGACTATGTTTGTGTCCAAAATTATGAGTTCTAAGCCAGGGGCCAAGGATCCTTAGGAGTAGTCCATGAACTTTGGAGGGGCTGTATATATGCAAAATGTTCAATTTTGAATGTATGTTTTATTCTATTTTCCTGCAAGTCAGTCTATAGGTTTTTTTGTCAGATTTCCAAAGTGTTTGTAGACAACAACAACAAAAATTAGATTCAGAGTTCCACATGTTTAGAGAATCCTTCACTCTAGTCTCTTTTACCAGTGTAGTATTGAGAGCAAGATATGGAAAAAAAAATCTGCTTTGCTCCTCAACAGTGATCCTCTCTGGGCCAGGGTTACAGATGTGTAGGTGATATACTGATAACCACTATGTCTTGGCCAAAATTGATTTGCTATTAAATAAGCGTCAAAGGGACCAGTCAGATTCTGACATGTTTCTTTTGTTATAGCTCCTATACTGTTCCAGGAAGAGTGGCAATGTTAATCAATAGGGAAAAAACTGATAATAACCCAGAAAACTAAGCACACTTTTCTAATTGTAGGGCAGAAAGTGCATTTGATAATGTCCTACCCAGTCCTTGTTCTTGTGTTTAATTAGATGGTATCCATTTGAAGTGGCCAGTCAGAGGTGGCAGATGCAGTAAAGTCACACCTAACCAGTCATGACCAACATGGACACAGGGCTTTTTTGAAACAGTAATGTAAAGAGTAATGGTTTTGTGAAAAATTACTTTAAGTAGAAAGTTTCCTAAACTTCAAAATTTACTCAACAAAAAAGCTAGTTCTAATCCTTCAGGAAATTTTCTTCTAGGTGATGTTTAGCCTCATTATGGGAGAAATTCGGCTTTGTTAAAATAATATTTCAAAATAAAGTTTATCTCATAATACATGCTATTATCTTTCAAGTATTAGAATACAGCAATTATATAGATAAATTTTTCATGGTCCGAAAAATGTGGTGTGTTATAATTTCTCATTACCAAGATTAATTCCAAGACGTATAATCAGAATACAATAATTTTATGGGGAGTTCAAGGAGTGTCAACCTTTATACATATTTAGATATGATATATTTGATAAGCTTTAATATAATTATAATAGTTTTGGTTTCAGGACAGTTAGTCTACATCTGGACAAATGTGAAAAAAAAATTTACTTAAAGTTGAGAAAAACATTTTCTTTAACTTAAATTATTGGACTAAATTCAGAATAATCTCCCTTTCTTGTTGTAGATATGGGGACACCTATGAGCATTTAAAATTAATATTGTGGGTGAATTTGATCAAAGTAACTTATATGGATTTATGGAACTATCACAATGAAACACTTTTGTACAACTAATACATACTAATTAAAAAGTAATTTAAAAAATTGACATTGGTGTTATTCTTAAATTTGAGTGACTAGAAATTACCTAAAAAATTAGAATATATTTAGTTTTGATTTTCTATTCAGCTGACTGACCCATAGGAATGGTCGGAATAGAGACAGAAATGACTTTTTTCCTCTCTTAAAGAAGATTCCAGTGACTTAAACTTAAAAACGATACTACATATGAACTACTGGTTTCTTATTTCTTGAACAACCAAGAGAGCTAAAGATTCCCTCTCTAATCTCTGGGAAATGAACCAAAAGCAAGCACTTCATTACATGCTAATGATTTTTAAAAATGTTTTAACATTTAAAATGTAATTTTCTCCATCATAGATTTATATATCTTCAATGGGAAATACAAAAGCAAATTAGTTCAAGTAATCTATTTGCAAATTAAAAATGAACATGGTTGATTACAAAACTCAGAGAAATTGGATATTAATTCTTTTTGAGGAATAAGAGTATGAGCACTATTCAAGTGGCATCCTCATCTATGGAAGAATGGGGGTTTTTAAAAATGATGACAATGGCATTTTAATCTGTATTAAACTTCCATTTATTGCTTTGGATTATACCTAGTAGAGTTTAGCTATCACTTGACTTTCAACAATTAGGAAGAGACTCTGACCCTCATATATTTTTTATGCAATCAATATTGTTTATTTCATCCCATGTACTTAAAAAAACTTGATGTCATGCTACTTTGCTTAGTGTTGGCTTCTGTTTGGGGGGATGCATGCTGGCCCTTTCTTTGAAACAATATACATAAGCAAGGCACATGTCAACTAGACTTTAGATTGGAGTCAGCTATGGAATATATTTTTCAAACAATCCTGTCTTCATCCCTTCATCCTGAGGCGGAATCACTGAGAGTATGATGGGAAAAAAAGGCATAGAGTAGGATGTTGGGTTCTGTAAGAGTGCTACTATTCTCACATTCTGCGCATGAATGGGTAGAAGAATTAAGACAACCTTCTAGTAGTAGCTACCAATGCTTAAAACTGATGCGCTCCATCAAAGAGCTACTTAATGTTAGTCCTTGGGAGCATCTGGGACCTGGCTTTGCTAGTGATAGCCACACAGGGCCGTGAGGCTCAGCTGGTCATCACTGGGTAAGGAAGGGTCAGGGTCACTATAGATTTGAGTCAGGGCCAAGCTCAGGATTTCTTTCTTTTCTTTGTAAAACCGAAGTTCTTGTCCTGCCTTCCTGGCTTCCTCCAGCTGCCTCAGGGCCATTCGTAGCTCTTGAGAGAGAATTCCTGGTGACTCTCGCTCCTTCATGATCCAGTCCAGGGCCATGTGACTGCGCATCTTCTCATCTAGGGAGTACTGGGAATAATAGGAGATGACTTCCTAGGAGTCAGGAAACAAAAGTTCAGAGTGTCAGTAAAGAACAAAAGAGGTACACATGTGCATGGTTATTCTACCCGTACTCTCCTGGCTATTCTCAATCATGGGGTTTTCCAACAGCTCTGACATTCAAAAACTGAAACCAAAAATCAAATCCTATCAACATACTTTTTAAGAAGAAATGATGGGTTAATCTGGTTCAACAAAGCTAGTAACTTGGGTTGAGTCAAAACACTTTACTAGGGCTAGGGGAGTGGTTCAAGTGGTAGCATGCCTGCCTAGCAAGCTTGAGGTATTGAGACTGAGTTCAAACTCCAATACCGCCAAAAAAAACAAATGAAAAACCCCCAAAACAAAGCAGCAAAACCTATTAGGAATGATAATAACATTCATAAAACAAAGCTCTGATACTTCTAGAAAATACAAAACTTTCTTTGAAAATAAATTCCTATAACTTCATTTATTCACTGGCCCTTTCTTCCCAGCATTATCTCCTTTGACAAGATAGAAAGGGGGAAACAGCAGTACAGATAGATTTTGGCAGAAAAGGGTTTGGTCACACCTATTGCAGAAAGTAGGAAGCATTTGGTCAAAGGGACTTTAGAACCAAACCTAGAAACCAGAACACCCAACTTTCTAGCTGCTATGCTGTTAGCATAAGGAAGATGCCAGTTCAAATGGCTCAAAGTAACTAACCAAAAGAAGTTGAAAAAAAACTGTATTATGGAATGTACACTATCATTATTGATATAATGATACTTTCATGGTACATTGTCTCTTACTTTGCAGACAATTAAAAATTAGCCACTACTTTCAATTCTTCTATGAAAAAAAACATCAATACATCATACTGTCATATATATGTTTGATTGTATGGAGCGAATGCAATGCTTATTTTTATTTTCAAGAACATATGGTATTTATTTATGACCTTAACAAATTAAAAACAATCATGGAAAAGTGTTTATAACCAACCCAACATATTTCAAAGGCCTTTTGTAAAATCAAAGGAAAGGGAAAAAAATAGCCAAAGCCATTGTTAGCTACTCATTTCTTTTCCATCTTTGACATTTTGAGAGCCAGACTTTCAAAGCAAAGAACAACCTAAAAAACTCCTGGGGCTACAGTACATGGAAAACTCTTACATCTACCCTCATCTTGCTGACTAATAGAGGCTTTCTTCCTCATACAAATTCCACTTAGGAAATTCTTAAAAATAAACAGCCATCTTTAATATTCTAATGGTGGGGTAAAAAAAGGATAAATCTCAGAGGACAACAGGTGAAAACCATTAAGAGGAGGATTACATTTGTTATTAAAAGGAGAAAGGGTGCATCTCATAAGCAATGAGGATCCTGTCTCTAAAATATAGAGAAGAAATTTCTAAGCCAAAAAATTGAGGTGATACAGTTATTTCTCTTGTCTGCTGGGGACCTGTTGGTAGAGGGATCTTCTTCTGCTACAACCAATTTTGTCTGTCTTCACTGAAGAGGCTTCAGAAGCTGTGGATTCCCAGCTTTCCTTCTCTACTGACACATGTAAGAGTGCACAGACCGAAAGTTAGCACACCAAAATAGATTCTGTCTTGAAACTAGGTTCTGTCATAATGACTGCGCCGTTGTGCATTCAGTATAGGTATTTATATTAGTCCTGTGTCCCACATTCTGGTATGTATATTTGGTCAATTCATGACTCATGTTCACTGTTAGATATATTTCTTCATGTGCCTTCTGCTCTTAATAAATAAGTGTAAAGTTTAAACAAAAATACCTAACTAAAAGTAATCTCTAAGGAATATGGTGCATCATCTGCTTAGTCCATACAACACTAACCTGTCTTGATTGGAAAATCTCACCTGTCTTGAACACTTTGTTTCACGAAGGGCTTTTAGACTTCCATTCCAGTGCAATAGTTGGAAAATGGTCATCAGCTCCTACAAAATCCAAACATTTGTCATTGGTATTGAAGCAATGTTGGCAGGCAATGAATAGGGTATAATTCTGATTCCCAAATATATGAGGGTAACAGGACATAAAATATTGTTAGAACACTGGAACTTTTTGAAGACCAGGGCCCCAGGCTCTTGGGGAATTCATCCTCCATTCTCTTGCTTTATCTGTACTTGCCTAATGAAATCTCTAAATAATTGACAAGTATCTTTCAACACTAAAAATATATACACTCCAATAGTTGTACATCCAAGAAGTTATCTAAGAATATAGGCACATCTGAGAAATAGTGCACAGGAAATGTTATATGCTGTATCATTTTTTGAAATTGCTAGAGACTGGGAAATTTTTAACTGTTTTTAGAGAAATGGTTAGATAAAGTGTGATACACCCACACTATTGAACACTTTACATACATAAAAGATGAGAACATAATCTGGGTGCTAAAATATAGACTTCTATAATGTTATTATCAAAATAAAATCAAAGTGCAAAACAAAGTGAACTTTGTGCTATTATGACTAAAAAGGAACAGAAGATACCTATATACATAGGTGCTTATAGATACCTATAGGAGTTCTTACAAGATACAAAATATCTGGTAATGGGTGAGGATGCAGCTCAGTGGTAGAGCATGTACTTATCATGCACAAGGCCCTGGGTTCAATCCCCATCTTCAAAAAAGCAAAAGAAATATAAATCCAAAAATAAGCAAAAAGAATCTGGTAACATTACTCAGCTCTGAAGATGGAAAGTATATCCCCGAGGGACAGAGTAGGAAGGAGTCCTTCCTCCAACATTCTTATGGAAACTTTTTGAGTTTTGAATCATGTAACTATGTTACACATCAAGTAAAATGATCTAGGTTTTAAGAATTTAAGCCAAAAATAAATATGTAAATATTGTCAAACAAAATTTATAGGTGGCCATTGGTTTGGACTGAGCTCCTAAGCTAGGCCCAATAGACCTAACCAAAATGGAGTCACACATGCCAAAGTTCCATGGCACCAAGTTGAAACTAAATTGCTAATCTGACCTCAGAAGGGGCAGGAGAGGGGAGAGGGGAAGAAAAGAAGAGGGAGAGTGAGGGAGAAACAGTCAAATCACCAGTTTTAGCCAATGCAATTAAGGAAGCCCTCTCTTCCCCTGTGCTTTAATCTTTACAAGGAAGGTAACTTTATAACAATCAGTCCATTTATTGCTATTTCTTTTTTCCTCAGCTCTTTTCTGCCTATAAATCCAACCTCCTCTGCTCAGCTTAAAGTAATACTCATTCTATTTTTTTTGGAGTAAAGTCTTGCTTGATTCTAGAATCACAAAACAAAGGCCAACTAAATCTTAAAACTAAGTTTGTTGTAATATTATCTTTTGATAAAACATATAATGGATATACTACAGAAACTATAACATACCCTTAAATTTATGAATTCAATCAAGAATAATGCCTTAAAATGTGGACTACAAGTTACAATCACCTTAAAGCACACTGGTAGTTTCTACATCCAATGCCAATAAGTACTGCATACAAGCACAGCTGTAAACCTGAGCCCCATTTTTCCTTTCCATGACTAGTATGAAGGGTACTCCAGTGTGTATCAACATGCTGAAAACTTTTATTTTCCTAATGAGGTTAGAACTAGCAGCTTTCCACTAAAATTATTTGCATTTCATTTATAGAGGGATTTTTTGTTTCCCCTTGTTTTGTCAGAGAGACATCTATTATGGATTACTAACATAAACCATAACCCAAAATTATTGGAAAAGGGCTCGATATAATTAAGGAACTTCCTGCTCATGAAAATAGTTATGAAACCTTACATTTAGACAGATGTCTTACTGCCCATTCATAAAACCATCTTTTGTTAACTGTCTTTACTTCTGCATGCTCAGGGAAAAAGTTTTCATTAGGAAAATAAGGAGACACATGGTCTTAAATTACAGGCATCTTTAAATTATCTGGGAAATTTTAGAGAAAATTATCTCTGTAAGATTATCAGAGGAGCAAATGATACTATTTCAAGTCTAAAATTGCTATTACAAATAAGTTTTTCTTTTCAGTCTGAAATAGAATTTGCATTTTTTTCTACATTGCATCACATAATCACTGCCCCAGGAGCCCCCAGTAAAAGCAAAACCATTTGTTTTCCTTAATTAAAATACAACATGAATATCAGCCATGTTGCTCCTTCTGTCTCAGAGATTCCACTCTCTGCCTAGGGTCCTAGGCCTAATGCCCAGGAAAGCCATCTTCACATGGACTCTCTTTTTCCTGACACCATCCAGATTTTGCTACATCACAGCACTATACTGATATGGAAAAGTGGGAGTGTTTCATCTTATAAATCAAATCTTGCCTAATCGATCTTTCACTGATGTGTTTCTCAACCTTTCCATCAAAGTAGCCCTTGTTGCTCAGGAAGATAAATTATTGCTACCCTTCCTTCCATACCCCTCCAACTCACTCATCTAGTACCATGTAGTCACAGAAATAAATACGAGCTCCATATGCCCTGATACAGAATAGGATTATGATATAATAATAAAACACCAGTGTTTGCAAATAAGAAATATCTTTGGGTTTCAAGCTGTATAAGAATCTGCTTGAATTTCATTTTCATTATGTATATATGCATTTTTTTTAAAAGGAAGACAAATAAACACTACTCCTCCACTTGACTCTCCGCCCCCCACCCCCGGATCCATACCAAATCTGGGCAGTCTATTTGGTTTATTTGTTTGTTTTTAGTGCTGGCAATCAAACTCAGGGCACACACTAGGCAAATCCTCCACTACTAAGCTATGTAAAGTTGGCAATCCAGAAAGATATATGGGACTTATTTCATGACTTCCAAAATCCATCTTAGCATTGCTCTGACATCTTTGTGGCCCTGTTTGAGAAACATCTTGCTGCTAATAGGGCTCTTATTTCCATCCTCTGAACATTTTTGCCTTCAAAATGTACTCTTCTTCCTCCAGGATCTTCTAGGTTTTCATTCTTTTCTATACACCAGAAGAGCTGCCTCTTCCACATGCACTGTCATCATTTCATTCTGCAATTCCTTGAAGACTCTAGAATCTATGCAAATGCTGTGAATACAACCAGAAGCCTTTCTCATGCCCTTGACAGCCTTCATCTCTCAAAAACTTCCTCAAAGAGATGTGAACTGTTTTTCCCTACAGGAGGAGGTTCTCATCTACCTCTCCCCTCTGGTTTGTCTAAATTGTTATTCCATCACCAAGCAGCTTTTTTCTCTTCCACAACACAAGTATTTTCTACTTAATGTTATTAAGGTTCCTAAAATTCTCTAGGGAAGGCAACCCCCTGCTCATCCTATTACATCATATCTGGATTTAGATTTTGTCCTCCTTTGTAGAAATATCAATTGTATCATCATTATATAAAGTGCGTTTAAACACTTCCATTTACTTACTGTCTCACTGCTTTAGTTTCCTTCATAAGACAAAATTCATGACCTTCAAATCCTCCTGAATCTGTATGAGCTTGTACTCAGTCCCAAGAAGTCCTGCGCGCCATTAATTCCATTGAAAATTCTGCATTATTGTAGACTGACATGGGAGAGCCACTGTGGACTTCTGCAAGGAATAACTTCCTTCTTTCATTGCGATTCTTCCCTGCCTGGTTTTAACCATCTCACTTTCTAAGTGAAGCCTGGTCACTCTACAGGAAGTGAGTCTGTCCCTCTCTTCACTAAAGTCTTTTGTGCTATCATGTTCATTATGTAAATTAATCTAGAAGCCTGGGGAGCCAGGCTGGATTGACAGCAAAGCAAGAAGCCAGCTTTTTAGGGTAAGGTGGGTGAGGCAAGACTTAAGTTGGGTGATTCATGCCCATTCAGGGTTTTTAAATTTTTGATATTTTGTGTATCAGGAATTTTTTGGCATTAATTTTGAGTTTTTGAAATGTTGCATTATATTATCTATCATGATCACTGAGTTTCTTAATACCCCTCAGAGACAAATGCGTCACTTTCTTAACCCTAGCCCTAGCCCTTTTGGTGGGTCTGTCTCAGGATCAAGCCTGGTTTCATAAAGTGTGAAGTCTATGTAGTCACACAGTTCTCTGCTGTTGGTTTGATACTCCATTATCTTGAAATTCTGAATAGGTTTTTTGAATAAAAATGCCCCTGCATTTTTATTTTGCATTCAGCCCTGTAAATTATAGCTGGTCCTGATCAGCAAAGTAAATTTTAAATTGAATGGAGAATAAAGTCCAGTGTTTTCTTTGCTCTTCAGGGAAAATTGCAGCTACAGCTCTCATTCCACAACTTTCCTGGTTCATTTTGTCATTTATTCCATTTAAACTGGCAACAACTGGGCTCCCTCCTCACAGTTCTTGCCTGCTATCAGATACAATGTCTTTTCAGTTACTTTGTCGGGGAGAAAATGTTCACAGTCTCTCTGCAACTTTGTCTGGGTGGGAGAATGGCTTGGTTCTGTGATTCATCAGAAATAAGAAAAACAAACACTGTAAATGGAGAACTTGAAAAACAGGTGGGCACCATCTCCCCACCCAAGAGAATGGATTTAAGAGGAAATTTGTTTATGGGATGAGGTTTTAAAAGGCGACCTGGAGAATTTAGCAAAGATGTAAATAAACAACTCTTCCTTGGATTGCATTAGGCTTCAGAATAAATATATTAACCAGCTTCAGTCAAAGTCTGCCTAGAATCTGACCTTGACAAGACCCAGCGCCTTTTGCCGCTTCCATCCCTCCCCCCAAACAGCAGGCAGTTTTCTGTCTGGCAAGGCTACCTCGAAACAGGCAGCCAGCTTCCCTCCCACGAAGTGAAGGTAAGCAGAGGCCCTATCGTGTTTCCTCTGAGCACTGGCTCAGGATTGCCCCCTGAAAGCCTGAGGGCAGTCAGGAGACACCAACCTTGTTTTTCTACAGTACGGTCATCCATTCCTAGATCCAAACACACGTCTATGACTCACCAGGGGTACCAAATTGCTGTGTCTTTGCAGAAACAGCCCAGGTCTGTGGTCCCTTCCTACTATGTGAAGACACAAGCTGATGCATTTAGTCTGGCCACTAAGGAACGTGCTGAGTCCCAGCAGGCAGGCGGAAGGAAAAGGATGAGCTCCTGGGCTCTCCTCCTGAGTTACCAGTACCCCTCCTGCAGGGATGATTCTATTTTCCTGGCCCTCACATCCTCTCCTTCCTTTGTTCCCATCCTTTACCCAGCTTTCTTGTGAGAATTTATGAAGCATTTCTATGGTATGATTCAAATTATTTCACGTGTTTAAATACCTTTACACAGCTTACACACCAAACACACAGCCCAAAGCAAGGCAATGAAAGTATTATCAACTGGAGGTTAAGTGGAGATTTTCACAGTACTTGGAAGGAATTTTAAGAAATAAATTTTTTAAAATCTCACCTTCCTCATCTTTGGCAGGCTAAGCCATCACATTAAAAAATCATTCTTAATTTTTCTGAAAATAGCCACTAAACTACATACATACAAGCTACTATGTACTGGTGCAGGCAGTGTTCATCCTATAATAAAGGAAGTACAGTATTCTTTTCAGGGGGTATGAAGGACAGAATTAAATGATTTTACTTCTTGTGAAAAGAACTATACTATATGCTTTATATGTGTCACATTTTTAGTCCTATGAAGTGACACTATCATTTCTATTTTATAGATAAGAAATTTGACTGTATGAATGAACAAGCTTACAAACAGCAAGTGATAGGCATCACACATAGGTCTGCATTATTTTTAAATGTATTCTCCTTTTTATTTTTTCTTTGGTTTTATGTTGTTGTGAGGGGAGAGGGGAACAAAATCCCCAGATCCTTTATAGTTCCACCCTTTTATTCTATAGCAGGAGCCTTGAAGCATTTTGGCAGGAAGCTCCCCTGTCCTCATCATAAGTTTCTGGTTACATAGAGCTGTCATGGGAATGCATCCAGAAGCCTCTGGCATTTCAAATAAAGCAATCCTATAGAAATACATACAGCAATCATTGCTAACCTTCATGAAGCATTTAGTATATGCCAGGCACTATTGTCGGCCCTTCTCATAGTGTCCTATTTAATCTTCACACTGGTACTGTGAGGTAGTATTGTTATTGTCCCTGGTTTACACACAAATGAAGAAACAGATTTAGAGGCAAAAACTAGAGTGAAGCTAAAACAAGTCAGCCCAAGTCCCCTACAGAACTTGGGCCAGAACCTCGGAGCTTATATACGCCCTCTTCTACTCCAGAGGGTAGGACTTAGGGATAACTGGTTATTTCTATCCCAAGTCAAACTACATCAAATGTCAGTGAGATCATGGCCACCTAAGCAGAAAATTGGATGACCAAGATATAGAGGGATGAAAGTATTTTTGTTTCAGTCATATGGAAACTATAAAGAAAAACATTAACTTTAAACAATGAGAAGGGGGGACATAGCCATATGAGAAATATCTGTGCCATTAGTCAGGGAAAGATTCGAAAGGTGTCAAAAAAGATATTTCAAAGTTGGAGGCTTTAGACCTCAGTTACAACACCATGGTAGATTTTATCATAATGAACATTTTTGTCCATGAAATTTTATCTCTGATTGCTCCTTGGATCTAACTCTGCAATCTCTGATTACTTCTTGGAATCTAACCAAAGAAAACAGAATTACTGGGGGTAAAGCCTCTTAGTTATAATATTACATATTGATTTCTGTGAGCATTCCATGTTGTTGGATATTCAGCTTCATTCAAGCTTTGTTGCTTACAGTGGAACACATTTCCTGTCCAGTCACTATTGAGTTTTCATATGCCCAGCCCAATATACGATAAGAGTCAAGTGGGTGAGCTCAGAGATCGGACTGTGTGTGTCTGAGTCCTGGCTCTGCCATTTGCTAAACAATGACAGACTTCCTTCAATAATAACATGTGCATAGTAATAATAGCTACCTCATATGGTTGATATAATGGTTACATTATAATACTTGTCAGAAGCTAAGCATTATGTATATGAAGAAAGCATCCAATAAGTATCAGCTATTAATACTATTGCTATCAATGTTACTATTTATTTTGCAAATACAGATGCACCTCAATTTATCATGAGGTTATGTCCCAATAAACCCATTGTAAGATGAAAATATCATCAGGTCAAAAATACATTTAGTACACTTAAACTACTGAATATCGTAGCTTAGCCTAGTCTACCTTAGAACACTTACATAGGCTTACAGTTGGGCAAAGTATCTAACACGAAGCCTGTTTTATAATAAAGCATTGAATATCTCATATAATTTATTGAGTACTTTACTGAAAAAGAAAAAGAATGGCTGTATAGGTATGCTTTCATACCATCGTAAAGTCAAAAAGTCATAAATCAGGGATGATCTGTAATAAGTAATGTAGTTACTCAGCTCTGTTATTGCTTGTCAGCAATGGATGAAAAGGTTAGTGGCTGCTAATTTTTTAAAATTTGGTTGATGATTGCAGGAGGCAGATCTTATTTAGTAGAAATATTGTTCATTGTACACTGCAGGAAGCCTCATCTATGACTTCTGAAAATTAAGAGCCAGATGGGCAAAAAAAAATACTTCAAACTGTTTGATTTTGTTAAGGTGGAACTTAGCACTGAAAAGCTAAAGTGTTTCACGGTCTTAAGACCATGGTGTTCCTCCTGTTTGTTAGAATTAAACTATTTTTTTTTTTTTTACTTTCCTTCATAAAAGCAAAGACTGTGATTTGTTTGCTTGTTTGTTTTAGTTTACTGTAGTGTGGCTAAGCCGGGGCCACTCTACTGGATTCTGGGAGGGTGAATTTAAAAAGTAGATTATTAGAACAGATGTTAGTAATGAGTTGCACGTCTCCCAGGCTTCTAGATTGCATAACCAATTAAACATGGCAGGAAATCAGGTACCTGAAACTCTAGCATGGTCTTCCCCATGTTTGACTCCAACATATAATGATAGGCTCCAATGCTTGTGCTGGGGTCATCAGCATCATCTAAAGTGCCCTTGGGAAAAAAAGGCAGAGAAAGAGAATATGACTGATTTTTCCTTTCCTTCTTTAAGTGATCGGGAATTAATGCTATTTTGGCCTAACCCTAACAGTGTTCACTGTGCAACCAAATAAAACCCTTCATTTCACCATGACTCAAAATAAAGAGGGTTTCATAATCAATTTGAATCTAGTTTTTGATTGGAATGTTAACTGATTATTTACTTGCTGATAGACTAATTATTCCAAAGCAGCAATTCCTGTATCATTCATTGAATGGGATTTTTGGTGGTGATGGCATTGGTGCTTGTGTGGCTCCCCTCCCAGGCTGCCTCCATTGCTTACTGAAATCTGGAGACGAGGACCTAGCTCTGACTTCAGTGATAGCTGGACAAGATTACATAATTGAAATAGAAGGATTTCTCTAGTTGTGTGGACCATTAATATTTTACTCCCTTTACTCTTAATGGGAACCTTTCATACTATACTGGTGTTTGGCCTGGTTGCATGGATCTTGGTTTGTGTTTTTGTATTCTCAGACAACTTAATCTTTAGCAAACAAGGTAGGTGAGTGATAGGTAGAAATGAAATTTTCTTGCAGTTTGGTCGTGGTGATCTGTTCTAAGAAGCTAACACAGCTCTGGAATGGCATTGGGGCCTCTTTCAATATCCCATGGCCTTGGATTCCCAGGAAGGTGGGCAATGGTGACTTTGTAAGACTGAACAAACAACTGCCAGCATCAGATAGCAGTGAATTTATAGCTTTTGAATGCAATAACATTAACACACTGCTGCTGAAATATTTACGTTGGCTTTTTAAATATCCCAGAGGAAATCCATCCAGAAGCCTGGAAGCCATATATATTCTCTTTCCTTAGAAATTTCCATGAAAAAATGATAAATTACATTTACACTGAGGGTCCTTCCTTGCTCCTGAGTAAATTCCACACTTATATAAATCAGGCATCATTTTCCTAACTTCTCTTCCTTAAAGGCACTTGAAATATACAGGACCGGAAAATAAAGGCTTTCTTTCATCCTCAGACCAGATAGAGAGCAGAGCTCTCTGCCTTCTCCCTGCCAGATCAGTCACTCTCCTTCCCCTGCCCCTTCACAATCTCTCCTCTGTGATAAGAGCATTTACACGGGGCAAAGGGCCACTGATATTCTTATGGCTTCTTTATCATACTCATTTCCAGAATGACAGAGTATTTCTAGCCAGATTAAGGAAAGCAGAGAAGGAAAATCTCAGATAGGGTTTATCCATGCTAAAGGCAAGCCAGAGGTAGCTACTCCCTTTACTAATGCCAAATTCTAGCCCTTCAACAGACACACAGTGAAACACCTGTCACAGGTAGAGCTCCAAGATTCCCTCTATGGCATATAGTTTGGAGGTACTGGGGGGTCAGAAGATCCCAATTATTCATTGGACAAATACGTAATCCAATGCTAGATTACTGAGAAAATGTTCTGTATAAATTTCTAATACATGGTTTTTGTTCTTAAAGCACTTTGCATTTAATTGTGTCCATTACAGAAATTGTCAAAGCTCACTGAAAGAAGTGATACTAAAATCATGATAATTCTAACAGCTAATACACACTGAGTTGATTATCTCAACAGTTAGTGTTTTCTTAAAACTATGGATTGCAGGGCCCAGCAGTGGCTGGGGAATTGGCACTTTCAATAAGTATCTTAAATGATTTTGTGATTAGTTAAGTTTGGAGAAAAAAAAATGGAGCTAACTTATCACCAGATTAAAGCAGTATTCAATTGTATGTTTGCAGGCCCTAAAAGAATCAATAATCCTTAGAAAGCAAACATTCAAATGTTTGATCCACCTTGATTTAAACCTGATTAATTGTGATCCCAGTAGGTTAAGAATATTACTCAGATGGGGAATGAGAAGCCTGTTCCAATTTCATGATTTCCAACCCAAGTATTCTTTTTGCTGAAAACTAAGGATTTAATGGGTAAAATTTTAACCAACACAATTTATAAATTAAGAATTTGCTCTCTTTACCATTTCCCAAGATTCATATGCCTCAGTATGTATATGGCCAGCTCCCTCCTCCCCTTGAGGGTACTCACGCTGGTGGAGGCTACTGCTTCCTGAACACTTTCCATAATGAATTCCTTGGTGATCCTGCGAGAGGGCAGCTCATTGAAGAGGGAGTTGATTAGGGCCACTTTAGCTGCATCCCGTCTGGCCTCAGCTCTACTTAAGCAACACTTAGGAAGGGATGGAGAAAAGGAGTCATTAAAGGATTCAGCATTCACCATTTCATCCCCGCACCAATGAGTCTGTGGACATTTCTATTCATACGTTTACTGTCATACTTGTTACCAATCTCCCTGAAGGTCATGCAGATTTTCTCTCAGCTACAGAGCCCATGCAAATGTCTTCAATTGTTTTTGTCTTATTTCACAGTCAAGGAATGTCTACTATGAATCAGAGGTTTTGTATACTCTGTTAGTAAGTTATAATAAAAGTAATAATGGATCCTATTGTATGCTAGGTTATTTACATTATTAGGGTTTTCAAATTCCTATCTTAGTGGGGGGAAAGGCAAGGAAAGAATAAAAACAGGGAAACTGGAGATACTTATAATAATAATTAAGAACATGGGATCTAGGGCCAGACTGCTAGGGCTCAAGTCCCAGCTCTGACAACTTATTAACTGTAAGGTCATGAACAAGTTAATTAGTCTATCTCTGCCTCAGTTTCCTCCTTGGCAAAGTGGGAATAATAGCAGGGTTGCAGTCACGATCAATTAGTTGATACATATGAAGCACTAGAGTACCCAGCACATGGTAGTGCTCTACAAGAACAAGCCAGACATAGATTTTTGCCTCTAGAGTATTGCGAGAGTGCTGTTATCTATATCCACTCTTTTTTTCCTTTCTACCTTTCTAGTAATTACTTCTCCTCCGCCCCCATTCTCCCTTCTAGTAACAGTTCACTGATTTTCTTGAGTATTACCCCTTCTATTGGCTCTTAGTCCATGTAGTTTGGCTAACTTCTTCATTGCTCACATGGGTCTACCTGCATGTCCTATTGTTTTCTGTCCTCTTTGTCTCTTTTCCTAACAATTAACAATTCCTATTCTTCATGTTTTAGTTTGATGTGTGTCCTGGGGGTCCAGAGAGAGTGGTGAAGTCCTATGAGAACTGGACAGAGCTCACACCTTTAGAGAGCCCCACGATCTAGGATTCCTAAAAGAAAACAAGTCCTGGGAAGAGAAGCCAGGACTAGGACTGGTGAATGTTGTAGCCAGTTATCCCTGGCTCCACCACTCATTGTCTGTGGGTCCTGGCCCACCTGAACTTTGGGGGCTAATTTTCTCATCCAAGGCTCCTACTACCTAGAATGCATAATCTTCAGAATTATCTTGGTAATGGATGTTAAAGAAGAGGGAAAGTTCCAGGATTTCACTTCATTTTGCAGTTTCCAAGTCTTGAGGTCTCTGTACCATCTACAGGAAAATGTCAAATCCTTTTAGTTTGCTTTAGACATCCTGTCTCCTCCAAATCTACCTTATGTTGACCATCTCGGCTCTGTCCCAGAAGCACTCCAAAGTTAAGTGTTTGTGGCCTCTAGAGGCCTGCCTCCCCTCGCCATCCCCATAAACCAGTTTGAGTCCTCTGTAATTCCCCCCAAAACCTCCCAGAGAGTGGAGATGATTATTGTAATGATCCTGTTGTTGACTGTTGATCGCTCTTGTCCATCTGGTCAGTGTATCTGAATTATAAGACTTCTAAAATGGCAAGAACAAACCTGTTACTGAGGAGAATGAAATTGTGTGTGTGTGTATGTGTGAGATTCTCTGGAGTTTAATAAGGCAGAATAAGTAAAGTTAGGAGGAGCTCTTCTAACATAGAACAAAGAGTGATTTCTCTTTTACCCTTTGTACAGTTTGGATCTTAAATGTTCCCAAAGGCTCTTGTGGTAAAGGCTTGGACCCCAGACTGTGGCATCATTGGGAGATTGTGGATGATTTAGGAGATGGGGCCTAGTGGAAGGAGTTGATCATTGGAGGCATGCCCTTGAAGGAGATGTCAGGCCCGCAACTCCCCCCATCTCTCTTTTCACTTCCTGACTATCGTGAGGTGAGTGGCTCTGCTCTATCATGTGTTCCAGGTTATAATATGCTGCATGGCCACAGGCCCAAAAGCAGTGGAGCCAACTGACCACGGCCTGAAACATCTGAAACCATGAGTGAAACAAAAGTTTCCTCCTTTTTCATTTATTCTATCAGATATTTTGTCACGGTGATGGAAAGCTGACCATTACAACCCTTTAAATAAAGAATAGAGCTTAAGATGCATATGAAAAATGGTGTGGAGTTTTTCTCACTGGTGTCTAATGACAAGCAAGAAGGCTTCATTATAGCTTTTAGGCAGCAAGGCCATTTAAAGTTTCAACATTTTCCAAGGTTTAGGCCACCTGCATTAAACCAGAGGGGTTTACTTTGAGCAGATAGGTTTACTTTGCATTGTGGACTCAGCTGGAAATTTACAGGATGATGAGTTCCAAGTCAGCAGTCCTTCACTGACACTCTGATGCCACCTCTTCCAAGAAGCTTTCCTTGACCACTTTCAAGTGCAAGCTGCAGGGACTACTGTGTATGAGAGATCCTGACCATGCTTGAGGGTAATTGTTTGCTAGTGCTCTGTCTCCTTCCATCCCCAGTTTGTAAGTCCCCTAGACCAGTCTATGATTTAGTTGCCTTTATATTCCCTGCCCCTGAACACAATTTGTTAAGTGAATAACAGAATGCAGCCTAAGAAACTCAATAACAAGTCACTAAAGCACCAAATATAATGCTCAAGAAATTGTCTTTATACGTAATACATGTATATTTCTTATTCTTAAAAAATAAAGGTATCATTTCAATATACCATGTATGGTATATGTAATCCACTAATATAAAAGTATATTAATACCTGAATTTCAGAGGAATAATTGGCTATTATATTTAGACTCTCTAATGTGATAATTTTTGCCTAAGTGTAGAATATGGTTATTACTCTTTGGAAAAATCAGTCCCCTGTTAAAAAGTAAACAAAATCTTTGCAATTATTACCTGACATCTGAGGCAACAACTCATTTTAATAACAATTTGGCTTTACAAAATCTACAATAAAGCTGTTGGGGTTTTAGAATTTAGAGAATTAGATTCAGATCCAGGCCCTCTTAAGAAACAACTTTCTATCTAAATAATAGTCATTTAAAGCATCTTTCATAGAGAGAGAGAACCAGTAAACACTACTTAGATAAAAGAAGCTATCTAGTTTAAATAAGACCAGCTAAGTACTAGATCAAAGACACCACATACATTTACAACCAAACGGCACTGCTTCAGAGATCAAAGTGCAGCTGGGCAGGCTGAGAACAGAAAGAGCCTTTACCCCAAAAAGCATGGAAAAAGGACCACGGGAGACTCAACCAATATCAAGATGTTAACGCAGACATATGTCTTTACTTATTTTGTTCTTTCAATGTACAGAATCCTTCCTTAAAATGTGGGAGAAAGTGTACCCATTATTAAGTACATAAAATAAATTCTGAGTCATCAAAGGGTTTTTGCTATTGTTCTTTACATTTCTGAAAGACAAGTACTTCAAAATGTCTATAATGTTAACCAGCCGCTTTCCTCTAAATTCTGGAACTACAAATCCAAGCCATGGAATGTTTCATATTTTCCTTTAAGGATCTTTTAAGAGGAACTTTCAACCCATAAGAACCTGTACTTGGGCAAGAAATTTAGCCCAAGAGCAGTCTGCTTCGTGTATCTAAATCAGTGTGCTGCTGTAAGAACAAGCAGTGATAGAGTTACCATCAAACAGTGGGAAGTACTGTGAGAAAATAAAATATGGCAAGTGACAGGACGTTTTATTGTTGTTCATACTGGTCCAGTTGTCAAAGACATCAGTTGGGAAGTGAGTGAAGTATGGTGTTATTTCAAGGGAACTTCCTGCTGGAACTAGACTTCCCAGGTTGCATGGTTCATTCTTGTTATTTTTCAGCCAGACTCCATCATAAATACAGATTTATAAACTGTGCCTTATCCACTAACCATTCTTACTTGTTAATATAGAGAGACAACGTCTGTCCTTTGCACTTTGTGAAAGTGCAGAACTGGAGTATTTAACAGTCAAGATTTTACCAAAGTCAGCTGTGGATTTCTTAGGCATGTGGAACCACATGCTTTCCAAGTGGCCAGCAGCCCCCACTCAGACATTTGTCTTGATGCTCAAATGCCTTTCATTTGCTGGTAGATTATAAACCATTATAATCATTTCAAAGTCTCCTAAAATTAAAGCAAACAAAATAAGAGTGACTGTGTCATTGCTAGGGAAGCTGTTCAAAGGCAAAGGTAGGCAGCCTGCAAGATACCCCCACTGAGCCCCTCCTGGCATTCAATTCCTCACACTGCCTTCTTCACACAACACCAAGGTTGGTCTGTGTAACCAATGGAAAGTAGCAGATGTGATATTATCTCATTTTTAACATCAGATTACAAAGGACCCTAGAGCTTCCATCTTGGTACTGCTTACCTTCTTTGATTTCCCACTGGAGGAACAGTGTCCATTGCCATGCCTTATGGAAAGGCACACAAGGAAGGGGGGAAAAAGCTTTGTTCCAGCAGCCACCTGAGTGAGATTGGAAGCTGATCCTCCAGGCCCAAAATCAAGCCTTTAAGTGACAGCATCTCCAATAGACAGCTTGACTACAATTTCTAGGAGACCCTGAGCCAGAAACACCCAGCTAAACTTCGTCCAGGTTCCTAGTGCTCAAGGACTGTATGAGACAGTAATGTTTATAAGTTTTGAGGTGAGTTGTTGTGCAGAAAGAGGTAACAATTATAAGGGTTTGCTCACTGAAGGTAATTAGGAGTTTTCTTCGCATACTCTTGAGAGAGAGCTCAACAGTAAGCCTCGTTGCCAATACTATGTGCTTGCACTGTGCTAAGCATTTTACATTTTTACCATGTTTGTTATTACAACAATCCTATGAGGTTTGTTTTGTCATTATCCTTAGGTTGTAATTGCAGAAAAAGATGCTTTAAAAGTGAACAAAACAAAATGCACCCTCAAGTCTGTCTGGCTTGAGAGTTGAATGTTGGCCACTAGGTTATGTTAATCTTTGTAGAAATGGTTACGCACATTGGAATAGAGAGGATATGGCTAAGGTCACATCGCATTCACTAAATCGGTAAGGTACTTGA